AGATCAACCTAGGGTCCCCCCAAATCTAGTTTCTCACCGGTTTTAGGCCACTTATTTTTCATCTCTTGGCTTTTTCAACAAAAAAAAAGAAAACATTTGCAAAAAGGGCGGTATTCCGTCTGAAAGTTGTGGTGGCACCGCCCCCCACTGGTGGATTCAGGGAGGGGGCCACCGGGGCCATGCCCCCCCAAAAGCCTGAAAGGGGGGCCAACATATCTTTTGGCCCCCCTCCCAAAACGCTTGAAGAAAAATTAATGTGAGAAAGTTGCGTAGTAGATACCTAAAAGTTAGAATCACCGGCGTGATTCAATAGCGTAGAGAAACTCAGGGGTGCGGGAACTACTTTCAGACTGGGGGGGGGGGGGGCACACCATAACAGAGATCAACCTAGGGTCCCCCCGAATCTAGCTTTCTCACCGGTTTTGGGCCACTTATTTTTCATCCCTTGGCTTTTTTCAACAAAAAAAGAAAACATTTGCAAAAAATGGGGTATTCCGTCTGAAAGTTGTGGGGGCACCGCCCCCACGGCCCCATAGTTGGGGGGTGGGCAAGCTGTCCCCACTGCCCCGGTTCCCACGCCTATGGAGAAACTACCGGGTTTACTATCTTTCTTCATAAAGTGTCGTCATGTCTTGTCGTCACCCGAGAAGGTCTTATTGCATACATATCGATTGAACTGTCAAGTTAACAAACTTGCTCTGGCAGCCTGACCTGACATGACCCGGCAATTTTTCATTCACGGAATATGCGTAATAAATTTTTTAGGAACACTCACTGAGTTGGCGTTGAAAAGCTTGTTTTGTTTGGTAATTGTACAAGAAGCATATCAGGGACCTTTTTGTCCCTTCCCGTGAAACGGTAAAAGACTTATTTCGGTCAGAGCTCAGGCCAATCTCTAAGGGGTCAGTCGGGTCACTTATTTCTTAAAAGGGTCCTTACGGCATCCAAGGACCAATTCCGGCTTTTGAGTGCACCACATCAGCATTTGATGCTGCGACAGATGGTGAAATATGAATATATGTTACAGGCCGTATGAAAATTGTCCGTTTGCAAACGGCCTGGCCCAGTCAGGGCATATGAAACAGCCTGAAAACACCGGCCGTTTGCAAACCATGACCTGAAATATCAGACCGTTTGAAAACGGCCTAGTTAGTTTCGGCCTAGCGGATCCAGGGGGGGCCACGGGGTCATGCCCCCAAGCCTGAAAGGGGGCAACATGTATTTTGGCCCCCAAAAACACTTAAGAAATATGAATGTGAGAAAGTAGCGTAGTAGGTAGAAACTACCGTATCATTAAAAATATGTGAGCTTGAGTGTTGGTCTCGTCTTCACCCAAGAAGTTCTTATTGCATACTTTACCTTTTGATCGACGCGTGAAGTTATCGTGTAAGTTATCATGAATCCGATCGCGACGAAACTTTAGCACCCTCATGTTGACAAAGTCTGAAAATTTCATGACCCTGACCCAAGTGACCTTTGACCTGTGGCCTATTTCTCGAGACTATCCGTGCGTTCGGAGAGCATGGAATATTCACCGTCCCCTGCATGGAATATTCCCCGTGCCGCGTTCGGAGGCGTATCTCTCTGAACGGCCAATCTCCGGGAATGTTCCGCGCGCATGGAGTATTCCACGGATTCCACGTGGAATGTGCCTCTCCGAACGCACCATATGTTTGGCCATGTTTGAGGCCATGTTTGGCCGGAATCGCGATTCCGCGTATGTCGGCTTTCGTGGTTTAAAACGCTCAAACATGTGAAATGATGTTGGTCCCAACCATTGTGGTAGGTGTCAATGTCACCTTAGGGTCAAGTCAGGTCATTGACCTTTGATGACCTCGGCCCACTTTTCCGAGTTTAACATGTTTCTAGGATAGTTTCGTTTAGCTGATTTTGAATTTAGCGTTTAGCAACCATTTGAACATTTACGAAGTAGTTTTGATGCCTTCGTATCATGTTACGTAGCTGCCAGTGGTAGTCGGACACCTGCTACACGGACGCCCATAAGTACTGGTTGACCTGACCTGGCCTGCCCCGACATGGCCTAAAGGCATGAAGACATCATCTATGATCCAAACTAACATGAAATTCGTGATCAGCACAAAAAAAATCTATTACAGCCTTACTTTAGGAGGTTCTGACAGGCCCTGATTTTCCCGTCTTTTGGGTCTGTGACCTGACCTGGGCGGTGTTTCACGGCACGCTGCCAGCGCTGTTGGCACTTTTGGTTTCCATGGAGACATCAACTAGCCTATACCTACAACACTACCGAAGGTTGACCTTAGCTCGCGGAATGCGCTGGCAGCGGCTGGCAGCGCGACCGTGAAACACCGCCCTGGAAGGTCAACCAATGACCAAGGACCTTAAAATCGGGTATCATCGGCTTCCTCTCGTCACTCACAAGCAACACACTCGTTTTTTCCGCGAGCTCTAGCTTGATCAGGGGCCGAACGGCAGAGAGGTTCAACCGACACCTCCCAGCCCGCGAAGGCTGCGCCAAGCACCGACCCGGAGCGGTGGTCGACAAAAGCAATTTGAAGTGTTTTCAAAGTAATATTAAGGCACGGGTTGAGTGGGCTACCATTTCTCTCTCTATTTTTTTTTAGTTAAAAAAAAAATTATCGTTTCAGGGCTGTGACGAAAAATAAGTGGCCTAAATCCGATGAGAAAACAGGATTTGGGGGTACCCTAGGTTTGGCTCCTTGCACGAGTTGGCCCCCCCCAAAACGCAAGTCTGGATCCGCCAGTGTGGGGTGCTGCTGCACGTGCGCATGTGCAGGGGTCAATTCCAGATCTCGAGAACGGCTGGACCAATTGCGTTCAAATTTGGTACGCGGTTAGGGACCGGTTAGTACGGTGCCGTGCAAGTCAGTTGGGATTTGGGACCCATTTTGCACGTGCGCACGTGCAGGGTGCCGCCTCCAGATCTCGAGAACGGCTGGGCCGATTGTGCACAAATTTGGCACATCGCTAAGGACCGGTTAGTAGGGTGCACTGCACAAGTTAGTTGGAAGTACCCCCTCGCAATTTCGCACGTGCAAGGCCCACCCTCTCGCTCGCTCCGTTGGTCGCCCCAAAAGGCGTTATACTGTTATATTTCGTTTCTTTTGTGGATGAAATAACTTTCCGACGAACCGTAGTGCAGGGGTCGATTCCAGATCTCAAGAACGGCTGAACCGATTGCGCTGAAATTTGGTATATGGTTAGGGACCGGATAGTAGGGTGCCGTGCAAAAGTAAATTGAGACCCATTTTGCACGTGCGCACGTGGAGGGAGACGCTTCCAGATCTCGAGAACGGCTAGGCTGATTGCACTCAAATTTGGCACATCGCTAGGGACCGTTTAGTAGGGTGCAGTGCACAAGTTAGTTGGAGCTACCCACTCGCAATTTCGCACGTGCAAGGCCCACCCTCTCGCTCGCTCCGTTGGTCGCCCCAAAAGGCGTTTTACTGGTGTTGTTATATTTCAGGTCATATGCAACCAAGCTGATCTCTATTGGCAGCGGTCACTGATTCAGTTCACCGTATGTGATCATAAAAATCATACATACAAGCCACTCATACAAATTACCGTCGGTAGAGTTCAGGATGCGTAGAAACAATGTACCACGGCCGAATTTCAGCCGCCGAACAGGGTTGGTCCTAACAGCCGACGATTCGTCCCACGGCTGGTGTTAGTGTCACCGCGCGCATTGTATTAAGCGTGGAAACTGCAACGCCGGACGCCGCTGAAAAACTAGAATTTCATTCGGCCGGCGCGCTCGAATTTTTCGTGCAGAGAGAAAAACAAACAAAGGCATTATAGGACTTGCATAGGGGCAAGGAAAATGGGTGGGATCGCTTAATCTGAGAGAAAGTGTTGATATGATACACCCTAGTGGACAGGACCGGAGCCACCAGACGAGTCAACAAACAGTAACACACAGCCGCCGACGGGTTAGAGACAGACAGACATATAGACATTCGTTCGTTCGTTCATTGGGGTTTACGGGCGTATAGACAGGCACAGACAGACATATACCTAGACAGACACAGACAGACACAGACAGACATATAGACAGACACAGACAGACATATAGACAGACACAGACAGACATATAGACAGACACAGACAGACATATAGACAGACACAGACAGACATATAGACAGACACAGACAGACATATAGACAGACACAGACAGACATATAGACAGACACAGACAGACATATAGACAGACACAGACAGACATATAGACAGGCACAGACAGACATATAGACAGGCACAGACAGACATATAGACAGACACAGACAGACATATAGACAGACACAGACAGACATATAGACAGACACAGACAGACATATAGACAGACACAGACAGACATATAGACAGACACAGACAGACATATGGACAGACACAGACAGACATATGGACAGACACAGACAGACATATAGACAGATACAGACAGACATATAGACAGACACAGACAGACATATAGACAGACACAGACAGACATTGTAGACAGACACAGACAGACATTGTAGACAGACACAGACAGACATATAGACAGACACATACAGATATATAGACAGACACAGACAGACATATAGACAGGCACAGACAGACATATAGACAGACACAGACAGACATATAGACAGACACAGACAGACATATAGACAGACACAGACAGACATATAGACAGACACAGACAGACATATAGACAGACACAGACAGACATATAGACAGACACAGACAGACATATGGACAGACACCGACAGACATATTGACAGACACAGACAGACATATAGACAGATACAGACAGACATATAGACAGACACAGACAGACATTGTAGACAGACACAGACAGACATATAGACAGACACAGACAGATATATAGACAGACACAGACAGACATTGTAGACAGACACAGACAGACATATTGACAGACACAGACACAGACAGACAGACAGATTGTGACCGGTAGTCTCACCAGCTCCGCGGTGCGGCCGGCGGCCTGTCCGACTCACCTTGCGCGGTTTCAGCGTGCGGTTGACGACGGGCGCCGAGCGCACGGGAAAGTCGTAGTTGAAGATCTGCCCCGGTGCGGCGCTAGGGTGGGCGCCACGCTGACGGCCGCTGGCCCGCTCCTGCTGCGCGCGCCGAAAGTCGAACATGTCGTCTGCCGGCACGGTGGTGGGCGTGCGAGGCGTGGCCGACTCGGTGTCCGAGAGGCGCGGCGAGCGGAGCTCCTCACAGTTCTGGTAGTTGGGTCCGCCGGCCGGCTCGTGGCCTTGCAGGTGGCGCGGCTTGGGCGGCCGCGGCGGGCCCTGCTTCAGCTGCTCGGCCTTGTTGACGCCACCTTTGACCGTCTCTGGCATGCTGTTGCTGCGCGAGTGCAGCGTCGGCCCCGGGAACGTCTCCCAGTTGACCTGGGGCGGCGGCGACGCGGTGGCGCCGGCCGGCGCTGGCCCGTCGCCGGCGCGCAGCGTCTCCAGATCAGCCACGTCCGTGCCGCGCCGCACCACGGGTCGGCGCCGGCTGGAGAACGGCCGCGCCGAGACGGCCGCCTTGGCGGGCGTGGGCGCGGCCGGCGACGGCGGCGAGCCGGCCAGCCGCGGCACGCCGCTGATGCACTCACTGATGGGGATGTAGGGGCCCGACGCTGACACGCTGCTCGGCGAGCCGGGCGGCGAGTCCGAGTCGTCGGCGTCGCTGAGCGGCTCACTGGCCGGCCGCGGACTGGCGTCCGGAGTCGCCGACGCCACCAGCGCCGGGCCTGCAGAGCGCCGGGCGGCGTTAGAAGCGCTCACAGACACCACACCAACTGGTGTACAGGTATTATATAATACTGAACGAGGCCGGTGTAAATAAATTTTCAAGACCGAGGTCCTTACTGGATTTTTGAACGAGGCCGAAGGCCGAGTTCAAAAATCAGTAAGGACTGAGGTCTTGAAAATTTATCACCGGCCGAGTTTGGTATGTATTTTACTGTATGCCAACGATGCCAACGATAAATTTATTTTCTGGACCGAAGCTCTTAGCCGACTTAGGAACGAGAACATCCCAAAATGTTGGCTTAAGTGCATTCTGGTAATGCATTTTTGACCGTGGTCAATTTGCTTACACCAGTTATTACCACACCCCTCTGGCTAATGTATTTGAATAGACCAGGCATACAGTAATAAGTGGTTGGTTGCTAATATCACAATAATTGATCTGCATTAATGAATACGTCTAATGGCTGTTGAAAACCACTGCCGAAATGTGTGCACGAACCATCTTCTCATTTCTATTGAGTCATTTTACAGGAGTGTCTCTGTCATTCAAAGTTATTTCACCAAAAGCACATAGGCTAACCAACCACTCTTTTGCTGGACGGCCGAACACCCCTCCTCTCACTGCGTGGGGGCAATACTCGAAGTGAGTATTCCACGAGAGGTCCCAGTTCCAGTAGTATTGCCTGGATTCCTCTATGCCACCCGTCCAGCTCATTATTGATCGTTGGCATTCCTTCCGTCGTCCTATCCAGGGCTGCGGAGTCGATGGATTTTCGGTGACTCCGACTCCGACTCCGACTCAAGCTTTCAAAAACCAGCTCCGACTCCGACTCCGACTCCGGGCAGAATTGTCGACTCCGACCGACTCCAACTCCCGACTCCGACTCCGCAGACCTAGCAGGGCTGCGGAGTCGACAGATTTTCGGTGACTCCGACTCCGACTCCGGCTCGGGTTTCTAAAATCGACTCCGACTCCGACTCCGACTCCGGTCACAACTGTCGACTCCGACCGACTCCGACTCCGACTCCGACTCCGACTCCGACTCCGCAGCCCTGGTCCTATCTCTCACGTTCCACATTTCAAGTTCAAATTTAGCCCGCCTCCCCCCACTTTCCCCCAAACTAGGAAAACATATATGTATACAACCAGTAAAACGCCTTTTGGGCGAAGAACGAGCGAGCGAGATAGTGAGCCCTGCACGTGCTGAAGGGCGAGAGGGTACTTCCAACGGGGCTTGTGCAAAGCACCCTTCTAACCGGTCGCTAGCGGTGTGCCAAATTTGAACGCAATCGGCCCAGCCGTTCCTGAGATCTGGAAGCGGTATTCTGCACGTGCGCACGTGCAAACGGGGGTTCAAACTGACTTTTACACGGTAAGAGCGTTAGATAGCCTCACCAGCGAACTGCCTTGTAACCGAGTTTCCTTGACCTAGGTGCAACCGATGACGTCACAGCCCAGGTCAAATGCCGATTTTTTTTTCACCGATAAAGGGCCTTTTCTAAGGATTTTTGAAAAATAAATTTAGCTCGAATGTTTGAATGGACGGATTGACAGAACCGGAGCCCACGTTAAGCAGAGCTTGTTGCGTAGACCCCCGACCCCTATCGTCCGATCGCGCAATTCCTGGTAACGGGAGAATTTAAATGCGAAAGTTTGACATGCCCTTCAAAGCCGGACACGTCCTGTCCGACTCAACTGACTCCGACTGGCTGCGACTGCTCCCACCAACCGCAGACCATGCCCGTCAGGAGTCTCAAATATCGAGCGCCGGAGCGACTCGAACCCGGGCTCTCACTACCGGGAGTCCGGTGCTCTACCAACTGAGCGACGGGAATGCGTTATAACATCAAATAAAAGGCATGTTATCGAAAATCATCGACAGAGCGATAGTTGCCTAATACAAATGTTGCTTCAAGAGGTCACCGATGCCAAGTCAGGTCACAGAAGTAAGGGCACTAACTGGGTGGTAACATATGCATTCTGCCAACGCTGGACCAGAGTTTAAACATTCAGGCTGAATTTTAACATTTAAGTTTTATATTTTTTAAAACGCTGAACTTTTTAGAAGTTGTATGACCTGTTCAGCCCATTTTTGGTCCATCACAAAGGGCTTGCATGTCATTTGCCATTAAAACGTGAATTAAAAAACTTTTAATGAGGTCTGGTAGCCTCACCAACTTCTTAACTGATTCTTTTAGTAGCTTTTGATTGGGCACTGCCCACGTTGTCTGTCTATGACACGATAAGAGGCTGCTGACATCGTTTGTCGCGGTTAGATAATACCAATCCACGTCCCAGTGGCTGCTCGATCGCACTTTTCCTTGTCCAGACTAGACTTTGCCCGGCACAGCCGTCGCCTCAGTGCCTCGGGCGGTGACCCGTTCAAAGGGGCTCACAACTCGTATGGTGCCGTGGCTCTCAAACCAACAGAGAACAGTGAGACGCACAGGCTCACTTTCCATATAACGCGAATAGCTGATTTTGGCGCCGGGGTTTCATTCATGCTAACGCCCAATCACAGCGCCGCATTTCAGTTTGTGTCGGGCGCAAAAGCTACTATGCTCCGCCCCTCCATCACGTGGCCTCAGTCACGTGGTGTTTCCACTTTTTGGCGCATGGCGGCGCTAGTCTCGCAGGGGCGGTGGTAGCTTGCTCCCTCGCCGTCCGGGGGTGATGGGTAGCAAGTGCTGGTGGCGGTGACTGTACCGTTGTGGTTGGTGGCAGGCCGCAGCCAGGCGAAGTCATTAGTCGCGTTTACATAGCATTTTTGACGAGGCCCTAGCTCATATACTTTGCGGTGATTTCGATCCAGTAATCTTTGTATATTTAGAGGGGATCATTTTGTAAATTGTAAAGCACTATTAGCATCTTTTGCAACCAAACAGGCGGAACTATATGCTTGCAGCAATCCTTATGTAAACGCGGCTAGTGAGGGGACCAGCCGTGTGCGGCTATGTGCGCAGTGCGCACGTTAAACTTTGGACTCCAAATTCTGCCATAGAACCGGAATGTAGTAGCGCGATCGGAGGGTAGAGGGCAGGATCAACGCAACAAGCTTCGCTTAGCGGGGGCGCTGTCCCTGCGAATCCTTCCATTCAAAAGGTTCGGACAAAATTGATTAAAAAAAAAAACACACAACTAAAATCGATATATGGCTAGGGTGATCGTTGGGGAGTAAAGGCCGCCACACACTGGACCTCGCATGCGGGTTGCGCGAGTCTGCGGTTATACTCATTCATAGAGTGAGACCATCATTCTCTTATAACTCACTCACTCCATGAATCCTGTGAAGCCGATACACCTTCAGAAAATTACAAAGTAACTCAACAACAGCACACCGAACCAACAATCGACTTCAACAAAACACATCAAAACTCGCAGCGAGGGCAGGCGAGGAAAACCGAAAGTTGACTCAGTCAACTTTTGGGATGTGATGCGAGGTGACTCGCAGGTCAAAAACTCGCAGACTAGCTCGCTAGTTGGCAGTGTGGGTCACTCAACGTAGTGTATTCTTTAAGTTTGAAGAAACTCGCAAAACCGCGAGCTCGCAACCCGCATGTGAGGTTCAGTATGGGGCACCCTGAAAGTGGGGCAGTTGATGATGCTGCAGCAGCTGGTTTTCCGGTCTGGCGGTGGGGCGCTCACCGTGCTCGTCGCCGTCGCGCGGGTACACCTTGAGGCCGCAGACGCGGCAGATGCAGTCCACCCACCGCTCCATTAGCGCCCGCGACTCGGCCGCCAGGTAGAACGTTCGCTTCGGCGTGCGAATGTCGAACATGAAGTCGTACTGATGCTTACGCGAGTCCAGCGTCAGGCCAGCGTCCACCTGCGTTCACAGTGGGTTCGTCAGAGCCACACCGGCCCCGATGGATGTCGGGGGGGGGGGGGGCTTGTGACGGCAGTAAGACAAAGTAGAGTAAGACGGCCATCGTTGCACCCCCTTCCGGCTGCTTAGAAATAACACTAAGACGTAAAACCGAGTGAAAATGTTCTTTTAACCTTTTCCGCTCCGGATTTCCGGAATCCAGAAGATGAGACATGGAGCTGATGCATCATGAGCAAATGCATTGCAGCTACCTCCGCAAGCCGTTGCAAAAAACCGTCTTACCCCATGGGTGTAAAACGGCCATGTGGGTAGGATAAGACGACCAAACTCTTTCATCGACCGCCAGATCAGAGTTGGTAATAGTTACATGCCAAAGAGTCACCATATTGACAAATGACAACGTCACTTATTGGTCCCCACATTGCCCCAGCAGACGGTAACACACTTTGGAAAGCTCACCTGCTCACACTGGTCGAGGTACATAGCTCACCTGCTCACACTGGTCGGGGTACATAGCTCACCTGCTCACACTGGTCGAGGTACATAGCTCACCTGCTCACACTGGTCGAGGTACATAGCTCACCTGCTCACACTGGTCGAGGTACATAGCTCACCTGCTCACACTGGTCGAGGTACATAGCTCACCTGCTCACACTGGTCGGGGTACATAGCTCACCTGCTCACACTGGTCGAGCTCGATCTTGCCTTTGAGCTTCCGCTTGGACTCGTCGCTGAAGTACTCGAGCACGTACTGTGACGGCAGGGAGCCGGAGCGGCGCAACAGGAAGAACCGCTTCCGCCACTTCTGCAACGGTCAGAGGTGTCGGTCACCGGACTCACGGCCGCATGGTAGGCCCCAACACCAGTCTAGCGCGAATCTAATCCCAGCACCGCTCTCATACACTGAAAGTGGTTCTCTGGCTTCTCAACCCATCGGTGACTGAGGGGGGCATTTAACGTACGTCGCCCCGTCGCCTTTTCACGATAGCTCAATAAATATGTAATTACGTGATTGACCTGAAATTTACAATAGCTTCTCCTATTTCAATTGCACATCGCCGATATACGGGATGTTCAGTTCAATAATTATCCCAACATTTATTTTCTGGCTAAAAGTACGATTGAGCTCAATTCTAATGATATACAACAATCATACTTTTATAAGACTTCCTTAACCCGCGCACCGACGCACAGTGGGGATTCTTCCGATCAAGCACGTCTTTATTCGTAGAGGGCAAACCATAGGTAGCATTGTAGCCAGATTGTGCACAGATGTTGGCTGGTGTGTTCTGGTGAGAATGTTACTTGTAAATGCCCATAATCAACATAGTATAGGGGGTTCCATTGGACCCCCGACTCAGCCGTTTGGCCCTGATGAAGCTAGAGCTTCGCGGAAAAATCAAGCGTGCTGCCTATGACAAGATGAGGCCGAATATATCAAATTTCAAAGTCTAAGGTCATTAGTTGACTTTCCAAGTCAGTTTAATGACCCAACTAAGGTTGGGAAATCGAGACCTCTTGAAACTTCGTAAAGTTAGGGTGTTACGGGGTATTTTGGGGTGCTGATCACGAATTGCATGTTAGTTTTGATCACAGACGATGTCTTTATGCATTTAGACCAGGTCGGGTCAGGTCAGGTCAGATCAACCAGTAGGCGTCCCGCCGGCCATCCATACGAGTAGTAGGTGTCACCTACTACTGACAGCTTCGTAACTTGGTACGAAGGCACCAGAACTACTTCGTAAATATTCAAATGGTTGCTAAATTCGAAATCAGCACCAAAAACTACCCTAGTAACAAGTAAAAATCGAAAAAGTGAGCCAAGGTCATCAAAGGTCAATGACCTTGACTTGACCTTCACGTGACCTTGACACCCACCATAATGCATGGCACCAACATCATTTCACATATTTGAACGTATAAAACCACAAAAAGACTGGAAACCGCGATAATGTCATTATCCGCTAGTCGACGTTCTCGATGCCAGACCGTTTTATTCCGAGAGAGGCAAAAGGTGGCAAAAGTTTGAGCAAGTCCCCAGACTAGAATTATGCGACGAATCGAATGGTATGAAAAGCAAAGTGTCAACTTTTGTCGAAAGTTGTTGATTTTCTATGTTTTTCCAAATCACTCTGCTAACTAAACTACCGTTTACAGTATATTTTGAATTTGGCGCTGCGAGTCCAAAAATTTGACAAATATGTTATTGCAATGCACCGTCATGCTCCAAAAGGATAAAGCTATTAGACGATATGCGATTTGTGATGCTGAAAATCGTTGGATTCGAGTTATAAGCCACACAACCGAGTGCAAGTTTTCAGCATTCATTTGCGCAAGGTGTATCAAGTGAGTAATGCCTGACTTTGGGCTCATTTTTTTGTGCTCAAACATATTATAATAGGCAAAATGAGACATTCAACATGAAAGTTCAGACAATTTTGCGCATAATGAGGTCAAAATATTGATTAAAATGAGAAGTCGGTTCTCAGACTTAAAGGGACTATCCCACCTTCTAAAATGTTGTTAAAACCAGTTAAATTGTGCCCGACTTTATAGATTGGATGACCAGGAACACGGTTCTGGCATTTATTTTTCATTAAACATCTTAGGCTTCCCATATTCCAAACACAAACTTTCAAATGTGTGACGTCACAGCCCAAAATTACCTCCTTCCCCAGGCCACATTACTGACATAAAGCTGATTCTTTTTACTCTGTAGGCACCACAACAAAGTTCAGACCAAGTTTCAAGCGATTTTTCAACGAACAAACCCATTTAAATCAGAATGACTAAACGAGGTGACGTCACACTAACGGTCGCTCCATGTTGAAGATAGGGCCTTGCACAAGGCCCATTTTCAAATGAAGGGAACGAATTTCTTCAACACCAAGAGGCCGCGGGGGTTGCAACCTAGATAGATAGTGGTTTCTGAACCTCGCCGCAAACTTGGCTATCTCAACTCAAACCCCATGTTAAAGGTGGGATAGTCCCTTTAAGACAGGCTAGATCGGGATAATCCCTACGGTGCGAAGGGGGTCTGCGCCAACTTAGAACCGACGGGGGGGGGGGGCCTGACATCTCGATAACGAAGCAAGATAGCGACAAGCGGTAAACGGCATGGGATACGCACGGACAAGGTCTACAATTTTTACTAAGGTCATTTTCAGGTCAGGTCAAAGATGACGTTACAGGGGTAAAAAGTCAAAATGGCGGCGCTAGATATGGAAAGAGGTTTTCTCGAATAACTTTCGAACTAGTCAAGATAGGAGCAAACTAAGGGCGTCATCGTGATCCTCTCGTAAATCCGCATCGAACCATATTATGTTGACCTCGAAAGGTCAAGGTCAAAGGTAGACCTCAGGTCACGTGACCTCGAGGTCATCATGTTTATCATTCGATGCGCCTTGACGAGCTGAACACAATGAGACCATCCGCGCGGCTGTATCTTGTTCCTGTACGGAGTTATTGGCAAAAAACATTTGGTGACCTTTGATGACGTCACATGACCTTACAGCTGCCCAACAGCAAAACAGACCTCAAGGTAGTGAAGGTTGATCGTATATGAAGTCATGTATGGTTTATGGGGCCATTCCGACTCGTTTTAGTGGTAAAAACAGGGAGTTGATTTTTCCCTCATTGACTTAGGTATAATGGGGAGGTCGAGAAATTGACCTGACCTTATCGGTCATCGATATCAAAATCCCGAAAGATACAAATTGTAGCTACTAATGACCTTATAACATCCTGCGATTTTCAAAGGCCTCCGACATCTACTGTAGCTCTGGCACGGTGACAAAGTTGCAAAAAAGTAACTTGAGGTTGGGTCAGTGGGTCATTCAAAATGACCTGGTGACCTGACCTTTAAAGTTAGTAGGTTCAAACTTGCACACCATGTGTAAAATTGATGAGAGAATAGTCGTAACAAATTTCGAAAAACCTCAGGGGGGCGGATATCCACCCCCCACCCTCCCACTCCCCGTAGCACCGTGTTTTAACTCGGACCAAAAACTGGCCAGGACGCGAAATATCGACTATTTTTAAACGTTTTCCTTTGGCAACTGTCGTGTTCAAAAAAGATCAGAGCATCTTCAACGACGGAAACTTTTTTCTCTTTACTTTTGAAAATGTTGAAAATGTACAACAAAGTCAGACAACTCTCAAAAGCTAAACTTCGGCAATCAAACGCAGAAACAGTCGGGGCATTCCACGTCAAATCGAACAAAAATCGGCTGTTTTGCACCTTACCATCAGCGATTTCATTATAAATTTGTGAGCGAGTTCCTGTGTCGCCCCGAACATTACATTGATGTTTTTTGCACATTCTGACCACAGGTCTTCTAAATATAGGGCATCGAATTTTTACAAAATGTTGCATCTTTATATTTTTGAACGACCATAACTTTGGTTGTACTTGTTTGATTTGAATGAAATAAACCTTACTGTTTAGGTAATTTTATAAGCATTTGTTTATAATTGCACCTACTTAAATATATGACCTTGAAATTTGCTTAACTCTGTTCTTAAGCACAAAAATTGAAATAGCAAAAAACACGTCACCTTCGATTTGGCTAATTTTAATATATTTTATAGCCTACCATATTCTTAACAACCTGTGAAACAATTAGCGTGGGCCATTCATAAGTTTTGAAGAAAATGGCACATATGCAAACGTATGTTAGCACGCGCAGTGGAGGGGGAAGAGTGAATTTCGCCCCACCCCTCCTGTTTTTCGCCAATATCTCATAGTATTAATGCGAAATTAATTATAGCTACATGTCCAAAATTGAATTGCACATCTCACCGTGCAAGCAAGAAGAAAATCGGTTCACAACTGTTCTAGTAATAGCGGTGTAAAGTGAACATCCTGTCGCCGCGGCGACGCGGCGACTCGGCAGCCGGCGCCGACCGCTAGCCGCCGCCTGAATTGTACATAGACTGTGCCGGGACGGAACGGAACGGTTCCGTCTTTACATCGCGCTCCTTACCGCTGATTACGTTCGATTCGCGTCAAATTTTGTGAGAAGACTAAGAAATGTACAGGCAATCTTATGGTGTAAGAATTTTGAAAATCGGTTGTTAACAATTGAAATATGAACGTGTAAACACAAAATTGTGATTGCTGCGTTTCCCGCGTCGGCCGATCCCGCCTCAGCCGGCGACATGTTACTCTTAGCAGGTCTCTAACTGTCATATTTATTATTGGATTAACTAGAAATTCCCTATACATACTCAAAAATGTATATTCTTTCGTACAGTGAAGATAAAAAGACGTGAAGATATCGTTGCGTGATAATGTTTTCGTTGAATTTTTGGCTTCATGGTGCATTTCCACACGGCTCAAAATTCACCGCAAAATACCGTTTGCCTGAGACACTTTTACTATGGAACTTGAATGCTTGACTACGATGACTATGTATTTCCATTCTCGCAGAGTTTGGGATATCACTAATCAGCAATCATTCATTTCAGAAAGTGTACACAAGCAAGCATGTCTTGACTCTGTCTTTCAAGGTCACGCGCGGTTGCGTGATGTTGATGCATGAAAACGGCTTTTGCCGCGAGAGTTATGAATGGCCCACTCCAATTTTTTTCACAGATGGTTAGGAACATTGTGACGGACATAATATGTAAAAATTACCCGAATCGAAGGTGACGTGTTTTTTGCTATTTAAATTTTTCTGTTTTAATTCAAGGTCAAATGCATTTCAAGGTCACTTCAATTTAATTTTATAATTAAAAATCAAAGCCTTATCAATTGCCTACAAGACCCTGTTAATATCATTTCGATACCAGAAAAGGAACCAG